CACAAGACAACGCCCCCCTTATATATCCATACCCTATCCCAATGCTGACTCATACTCTCACATAACAGAAACAAAAAAGAACATAATAGAAACCCGCTTCGCTAAACCCAACCACACTGCATAACCCTTCCTTTTCGTACCCTAACACCTCGCATAACCAAACCACATGGCTGCCGTTACAGACCACTCCCCCCTCTACGGCCTACCTCCTGGTAGGCTTAGGCTTCCGTGGATATCGTTTGTGAAATCGTTTGACAATATCGGGCGAATGTTCGACATCCGACAATGGCTGCCACGAAGCTTCGTCATAACCGGCATACTTAATCAAGTATTCAAATCTTCCCCGACGATCCCTGGAATCCAAAATATCCTCGACTTCCCACTCCTCCTGTCCTTCAACTTCGACCGGCGGTGGTGGTAACTGTTGTTGTCCTGGTAAAGGATCGTTTGCTACAGACGACAATAAAGAGACATGGAATACGGGGTGAACTTTCATGGAACGAGGGAGTTCCAACTCATAGGCATAAGGACTGACAACTCGTTTGATCGCATAGGGTCCGAGGCGTTTCCAATCGAGTTTTTTGGATGGTCGTTTCGTAAGGACATGACGTGTCGACAAGAAAACTTGGTCTCCTACCCGATAGTGGGGAGCTGGAGTCCGATTTACATTGGCTGATTCCTCTTGTATTCGTTGCGCTCGAAACATCTCATCCTTTAAGAAACCTAATATCTCCTTCATTTCTTGTACAATACCATTAGCTTGATCCTCCGCTGTTGTCCGTCCATGTTCTAGGGGACCAAAAGTCATTCTTGGATTTCTTCCCGAATTGGCATAGAAAGGAGAGATTTTGGTTGTTTCCGAAGCATGATTGTTTGTTGCAAATTCGGCCATCGGTAGCCATCGAGCCCAATCATCCTGTTGATAGGAAACATAACTCCGAAGGTATTGTTCCATGATAGCATTGATCCGTTCCGTCTGTCCATCCGTCTGAGGATGAAATGTGGTAGAGAACTTTGGTGATATTTCTAGACGATCGCAAAGTGACCTCCAGAATTCTGCAACAAACTGAGTCCCTCGATCGGATACAGTGGTATTAGGTAATCCATGTAACTTCCAAACATTGTCGATATACAGCCTCGCTACTTCTCTTGCATCCGCCTCCTTAGTCGTTGGTATCAGATGTCGCATTTTGGTCAGCCTATCTACCACAACCAGGATTGCATTGTACCCATTGCTTTCAGGAAGATCGGTAACAAAATCCATTGACACATCCGTCCATGGTCCCTCTGGTATTGGCATGGGGCGCAGTACTCCATAGGGTGCATTACGTGGTGCCTTGCTACGGGCACACACATTGCAATTTCGAACATACTGATCGACATACCTTCGCATTTGTGGCCAGTAATACTCTCGATTCAGGAGTTCCAAAGTCTTTGCTCTGCCTGGATGTCCTGCCGATGGTTTGTCATGGTGCTCTTGTAGAAGTCTTAGTCGAAGGTCATTGTCATCCGGTACATAGAGTGCGCCACGGTAAAGTAGCCGACCGTTGTTATCTTCCGTGCATTCGGCGAGCGAGATCTTATTCGAGTGACGGACGCCATTCCGAAGCATCGCGAGTACTTTGTTCGGGAAACTGTCAACTTGGTAAGCATTTAAAAACAACTCTTCTACAGTGGACATTCCTTCAGCGGATTCATTTGAAAAAGAACCCGCGAACAAACTTAGCTTTGAATCCAAATTTTTTCGCTTCAAAACCACCTGGCTTTGATGCGTCAACCGTTCATCCCCCTCCTTAGGTAGGTCACCCGACCTCCTAGTCAATGCATCCGGCTTTGCCCCTTGTTTCCCTGGTCTAAATTGAATAACGAAATCGAAACGTGAAAGAAATTCCGACCAACGGGCTTGTCGACGGTTTAATAACTTTGTTGACATAAAATATTCAAGGTTCCGATGGTCGCTAAGAACTTCAATTGGGAATTGTGCTCCCTCTAAATGATGTCGCCATTCCTCAAAACATCGTACGATTGCCAGGAGTTCTTTGTCATAGATCTCATAGTTACATTCCGCAGGGGAATGTTTCTTAGAGAAGAAAGCGACTGGATGTAGAATTCCTTCGTCGTCATATTGGGACAGGATTCCAGCAGAAACATAGTCGGATGCATCGGTTTCTACCACGATTTTCCGATCCGGATCAAAATGCATTAGTATAGGTGCCGTTATGAACATCTTTTTCAATATCTGGAATGCCTCCTCCCTCTCATCCGTCCATTCGAATTTAATATTTTTCTTGGTCAAAGCCGTAAGCGGAGCAACAATTCTTGAATATCCTAAAATAAACCGTCGATAGAAATTCGCAAATCCCAAAAATACTTGAACATCATGAAGGTTCCTTGGTGTAGACCACTCCAAAACATCGACAACTTTCTTCGGATCCATTCGATTCCCATCCGGGGTGAGAATCAAACCAAGATACTTTGTTTCTTGAACCATAAACTCACACTTCTCAGGTTTAAGATGGACATGATTCTCATCAAGTACCTTCAAAACCTTTTGGATGTGTTCCTTGTGTTCCGATAAAGTTTCGGAATAAATCAGGATGTCGTCTAAATACGCCGTTACAAATTGGTCGAGGTAGGGACGTAGAATATCATTAATCCAATGTTGAAAGGTGGCGGGGGCGTTGGCTAATCCGAACGGCATTACTGTATACTCGAAATGTCCATATCGAGTTCTAAATGCTGTTTTCCATTCGTCTCCCTCCGCTACCCTGATCTGATTGTATCCCCAACGTAAATCCAACTTGGTATAGTACTGTGCCTTCGAAAGTTTAGCCAAAGTTTCCTTTAACAGTGGTAACGGATACCGATTTTTGACCGTAATCGCATTGAGGCCTCGGTAATCCACACATAGCCGGAGAGTCCCATCATTTTTCTTTACGAATAGTATAGGTGCTCCTGCCGGTGATTCACTAGCTCTGATAAATCCCTTTGGTAGATTTTCATCGAGGTATTCCCGTAGCGCTTTTAATTCAATCTGGGACAGGCCGTATATTGGTCCATATGGAGGTCGTTTACCTTCCTCCAATACGATCTCAATATCATGGGACGGTCGATGTGGCGGCAGGACAGAAGCATCATATTCTTGGAACATACCGAGACGATGGTGGAACTCCTTTGGTACTAGTTGCTTGACATTGACGGTGGATTTCTCAATTGCTGAAACGACAATAGTATGATGTTCTGGTAGAGGGATCGATATTCCATGGACAGTGACTGCAGTTCCATTGAGTGAACAGTGTTTAACACAGTCCCGAGAATCAAAAACAAGTAGATTATCCTTTGGCCGAATGGTGACATCGTGCCGTCGCATCCACGGTATTCCCATCACGATCGGATAATGTCCCAATTTTGTAACGAAACATGAAGCAATTTCTCGGTGGCCATGAATATCTAGTAAAACATCGACAATGTGGGTAATTTCTCCTGACTGGATAGGTCTTCCATCCATAACATCTACCTGGCGAGGTTTCCTAAGAGGGGTCATTGCAAGATTGTTGTGACGTACGAAAGATTCATCGATAAAAGCATATCCTGATGCTCCAGTATCAATGAGAGCGTAGGTGGGAATGAAGGAGTCGGAATTCTGAGAGACCGAACAGGTAACAACAAGAGAGTCTTCGGACATCTTATCCTCAGACACAGCAGCAGCAGGGAGAACAGAAACAGATGGCGGGGCTGGCCCCTTTGGTTTGCCATTTTTTACCAAAGGGGCTGACCTTTTAACGCCGGCTTTGGAGACCCATTTTCAAGTGGCCTTTCTCGCCAATTGCTAATGGAACGGGGATCTTTGGTGCGAGGAGCCAGGTAACGAGGCTTGGAGACATGGCGAGATCTAACTGTAGCGGTGGAAACGGAGATACGAGAACGAAGGTCAGCAATGGTGGCATTGGCTTGGGCCTCCCAGGCCTTTGCAACAGAGGTGATGTGAAGAACCTCATCTTCAGCATCAGCGAGGTTCTCGTCAGCGATGGCAAGACTTTCCTGATGTAATGCCAGGCGATACCGAAGCTCCTCCTCTTCAGCCTTAGACTCCTCAAGCTCGCCCTTGAGAGCAACGATAACTTCATCGCGGCCCCGAATAGTTTCAGTAGAGTCTTCCTGGCATTCGGACAAGGTTTGCAATAGATCGGCAGCCTTTTCGTCAGCTGCTTCGAGTTCCTTGGTGAGGCCGATAATGACCTCTTCTTGGGCCGTATCGATAACGGGTTCGGGGATTTCGGAAGGCTTGGTGAAAGCCTCCAAACATTCAGCAATGAGATTATGGGCCTCGGTAAGTTCATCACCGAAGTCTATATCTGCTGGGAGGGGACCATATGTGGTCAGAAATCCTGAAAGGCGCTGTAACAGGGTATCCTGAGTAGTGTCGGACATAGTCGCGACCAGAGCTAAGCGTGGTGGTGTTGTATTGGTTGGCGATAAAGGATGCAACCTAAGTCTAACGGGGACTATGGGCGTAGGAACTATGAAGCCAAGGAATACAACCGAGGCGAAGACGTGGACGTAGGAAGTTCGTGGACTATGGACTATGGACTATGGGGCCGAAGGGTACACCTAAGGCAAGAACGGAGACTGTGGACTATGGACTATGGATGGTTGTACCTGGTCTAGTATACCGGGTAAACCCTATGACGTAGCGCGAACCAAATAATATTCGTGACTGTAAAGTACAGAGGTTGCATAAAGAGAAAAGGAAAAGAAAGAGAAACAAGAAATCACAAGACAACGCCCCCCTTATATATCCATACCCTATCCCAATGCTGACTCATACTCTCACATAACAGAAACAAAAAGAACATAATAGAAACCCGCTTCGCTAAACCCAACCACACTGCATAACCCTTCCTTTTCGTACCCTAACACCTCGCATAACCAAACCACATGGCTGCCGTTACAACCCGCGGTGTCTGTGGAGGGGAAGGACTTAGCCCCGTAGGGTACCTCTATAGTCTCAGGCGTTGGTCCTTCACGGCCTTGGGGTTCCTTCGATGGAAGTCGCGGACTAGATCAAGTACGTCTTCATTCATAACGTCCATGACTTGGTAAGTACAGTCGCTCATCGAATAGCCCCGCCATTTCACCAGGTATTCCACTAATCCTCTTCTGCTCTTCCGGCTTCCCACAATACTTTCCACTTCGTACAGAACCTCTCCTTCTTTATCGACATCTTCAGGAGTTGGGTGACGTTGTTCTCGGCCTGGGATACTGCTCTGTCGATAATGTTCTAAGAGTTCGATATGGAACACGTTATGGATTTTGACTTGTGGTGGCAGTTCCAATTCGCAGGTTCGTTTCCCAGCTAGTCGGGTAATCTTGAACGGACCGAGTTTCTTATGATCGAGTTTCTTGGTGGAGCGACGTGTCTTAATATTGGCCGCGTTAAGCATGATCATGTCGCCTATCTTGAAGTTCGGCGGTTCGTCCCTTTTCCGATCATAGTATTTCCCCATCTTCTCCCTGGTGTCTGATAAGCGAGCGAGAGGGGAATCGTGAACTCCTCGGATGAAGTGAGCGTACAGGTCACTGGTTGGGTTCACCACTTCGGCTTCTGTTGGCCAGTTGGTTCTTGGGTTATAACCGTAATTGGTATAAAACGGAGATTGACCCGTGGCGGTGGTAACCGAGTTGTTGTAAGCATACTCCGCCAACGGGAGTAGCTCTGCCCAATCATCTTGCTCGTAGTTGCAGAACGCTCGTAAGTAATGCTCGAGGGTTTGGTTGACTCGCTCTGTTTGCCCATCGGTCTGAGGGTGGAAAGCCGTACTCATTCTTATCCTCACGTCCAATAATTCCATAAGGGATGCCCAAAAGCTTGAAGTAAACTTGGCGTCCCTGTCGGAAACTATATCAAGAGGCAGCCCATGGAGTCGCCAGATTTGACCGAGGAATATCTTCGCTAAATCCTGCGCGGTCGTTTCTGCTACTAGGGGGATAAAGTGCGACATCTTCGAGAACCTATCGACTACTACCCAAATTTGGTTGTATCCCTTTGATTCCGGTAACTGCACGACGAAGTCCATTGATATCGATTGCCAGACAGAGTGAGGCGTGGACAGTGGTAGAAGCGCACCCTATTTCTTATGGCGGCTGGGTTTATTGCGCTGGCACTCGTCACATGACCGAACGTAGTCATCAATCCACTCGTTCATTTTTGGCCAATAGAAGTTGCGCGTGATGAGCTCCAACGTCTTGTCTTGTCCAAAGTGTCCTGCCACTTTTGAATCGTGCTCTGCCTGTGCTATCCGGATCTTGATACGGTCGTCTGCCGGAATGTAGAGTCGGTTCTTATAGAAGAGTAGCCCGTCTTTCTCAGCAATATCCTTCAATTCCCCCAGCTTCTCCCCTTGCTCAACTCACTCTTTCAATCCTACCCATATCGGGTCTCCCGATGCCGCCTGCCTGACATGATCCAGAAAATTCTTAGACCAGTCAATCACTCCCTTGGAGGCAAGCGACACCGCTGATACCACAAACTCTTCCTCCGCCAACTGTCCGGGCTTAAAGAACCTGTCTATCGGCTGTTTCGCAAGCGTGCCTCCCCCTTCAGGACGGTACTCCGGCCGTCGCGATAGTGCATCTGCCTTCCCATTTTTGGTTCCCGGGCGGTAAATAATCTTAAAGTCAAATTCCGCCAAAGACTCAGCCCACCTTGCCTGTCGTCGGTTCAGAACCTTAGTTGTAGAGAAGTACTCTAAGTTCTTGTGATCCGTATAGACGAGGACCGTTCGGCTAGGTCCTTCGAGGTAGTGACGCCATTGCTTGAAGGCCGACACAATTCCTAGCATCTCCTTATCCCAGACGTCGTAGTTGAGTTCCGCTGGGTTCAGCTTTCGAGAATAAAAGGCAACAGGGTGAGTCTTCCCGTCAATAACCTGGGATAGAATTGCGGCAATAGCAAAATCACTTGCGTCCGTTTCCACGATTGTCTGGCGATCTGGAGAAAAGTGTACCAAGATCGGCGCCGACGTAAATAGGGTTTTGAGTTTTTCGAAGGCTGCTTGGGCCGTGTTACGGGCATGCCAAGCATTTACGGGAGTGAGAGAAAGGCTAGTAGATAACCCCAATACCCTCTGAAACTAATGGCAACACCACTATCAACTCCGGTTCGCACCCACGAGGTGCGGTGCGATCAATATGCGACCAAATGCGGAGTTGCGGTTTTCCTAGTTAAAAAAACACGTTTTCGACCCCAATAATAACCCCCGGAGCGTCAAACCGCCGGAGGGGAGTGTTTTGGTACCGGTGGATATATGAGGGACAGCTGGAATCAATCGGATCGAAGATCGGACCACCCGGAGCGAATCGGCGCAAGCTACCAGCCGACCGAGTACCTATCGGCGGTACCTGTGGGCATGAGAGGACTCTGCTATGTGGGAAAGCGATGTGGGAAGAGGCCTGAGTAGGTAGCCTTGCCGTCCGAGACCTCCGAATAGCCGACGCTGACGATTATCCACCAGACGGCCGATGGAGAAGAAACATCGACAGGGAAACGTGCATTAGAGTGGGTAAATAGGTTGAGGGGTTTCTGCGGGTTTAGGAGTTTGGGTTACGGACTTAGGAGTTAAATGTTCTTGGTTGTTTTTCAGGGTCTCAGGCATGCCCCGAGTGTATGCTGTATTATTAGTAGACTGGGTCCTCGAGACATAAGCGAGGGATATAAATACTGTGTCATTCACTGACTAGCCAAACCATCATCGGCGAAATCAGAGTCTTAACAATATAAATCGTTGATACGCGAGTTACAACTTTATTTGACTATACTTTTGGAAATACTTTATTCTATTGTGACTTCGAACTCTACCTGAACTATTACGTCGAAGACGGTCGAACATCACACGCTAACTCTAGTGAATCTTTGTTGATAACGTAGTTCGCGGGGCCCGTATCGGATCAAGGAGAATCATACTCGACGTTGACTGAAGAGACCTTGGAGACTTCTACCTTTGTAGCTGTTGGCCGAACTCTGAGCTCTGCGTAGTGTACTCTTGTGGTCTGGTACGCATCCCTCACAGTATATTGTTACTCACAAGTTCACTTGGAGTAACGAAGTCACCTCAAAAAAGAAGAACTATCATCATTATCCCTTACCACAATGGCATTCCGAAGGTATTATTTCGTAGACACCTCGGCCGTAACAGACGAGGCCGCAGAGGACGCTATGGTACTATCTGAGGCTGTTAGCCCCGATCCCCTACTCCAGGGAGGACCCTCTACACAAACTAGGTCAACGAGTAAACGCTCTGCTCAAGCCCAGTTTACGAGGTCCATGCAGGAGTTTTTGGATACCCATGAGGCACAAATGAGGTATCTTGGTACAGCTGGACAGGCCGTTTGGCAGCAGGTACAAAACCTCCAGGAACAAGTGCAGGGGAGTGGGCAAATTCTGGATAAGAAAGCACGGCAAGAAGCCATCGCCCAGAAGCAACATCTCGAATCGCTCTTTGAGCTCATCGCAAATGTTCGACAAGAACAGGAAGCCGCACGAGTCGCTGACCACGAGGTTCTGGACCGCAACTATCGAGTTACCCAGAACCAACTGCTGGAGGCGGAACGACAGCTGAGAATCGCAAGAGAGGAGCGAGAGCAGGAGAAAAGGGAACAGCGGGAACTGTTGGTACAATTCAAGCAGTCCGACGACGTAAGAAACCAACGAATAGCCGAGATGGAGGAACGTCTACGACAACATTTGTCGGTAGCACCCTCCATGGTGAGTATTCCCTTGGACCCTATTGCACCCCAAATGGTTCCTGTTGGAAATGGCAAGAACCCCGAAAACGTTGGCCCAGTAGGAGGAAACGCTGGTCCCGTAGGAGGAAATGGAGGCAGGCGACCGGAGGATGCCGGCCCAGTGCAGGGAAATAGTGGCAGGAAACCGGTGAGAGCTGCCCCCGTCGGCGGGAATGGTGGAAATCAACCTCCCCAGAACCCACCAAGAGGAAATGTTGGGGGAGATCCAGAACCTTCCGACGACGATGACGACGATAACAGTGAATGGTCGCGCGGTCGGAAGAATTGGAGAATAAACCGAGGCGGAAACCGGAACTCGGCGCCGCCTGAAGATGACGATATGGTAGACTCGCTTGCCAAAATACCCTTTGAGTTCGATAATGCCAGGAAACATAACCTGCGGCATTGGCTCATGGAGTGCGAGATCTACTTCGAGCAGAAGCCCAAGAAGTTCCGAACGGACAGAAACAAAGTGCTGTTCGCTGGAACGTATACGTGTGGGTTGGCGAAGGAATGGTTTATGGAGTATATCGAGACCAAGATGCTAGGTCCAGCAGCCGCAGACTACGCTACTTGGACTCGGTTCCGTCAGGAAATCAGGAAACGCTTCTTAAGCACTCAGGAGGCTATGGAAAACGCGATGAAGATGCAGCAGTTTAAGTACTCTGCTAACATCGGGGACTACCTGACGAGAATGGAGATCATGAACCAGCATGCTCAGATGAAAGGAGCATCCTATCGCGCCGCCCTGCTCCAAGGGCTACCAAATGAAATCCGGGAGCGCCACTCACGCTTCGATCCAACCGATGACGACTCCGAGTACATCCAACAGTTGGAACGAGCCGGCAAGGCTCATGAGGCTTATCAAGAGCAGATGAAGATGTTGGGGAAAGCGGAGTTGAGAGGAAGGGAGCCGAATAATGGTGGGAACTCGCGGCAAAAGGAGAAGGGGTTTAAGATCAAAGGGAGGGCTCAGACTGAGGAGAAAGAAAAAGGGCAAGATAAGAAGAGCACCAGCAAGAACAAGTCGGGGAACAAGCCAATATACCACGACTACGACGAAGCCACCAAAGGAGTTCCACAGCCGGTCCGAGAACAGCGAAAGACCGATGGAGCCTGTGTGCGATGTGGCCGGAAGGGTCATCTTTGGATGTGGTATCGTTCAGATGCTAACAGCAGTGCATCTATCTCCTCTTTCTCCCGAAAGCGTACCCGCGATGACGATGGCGACCATGATATGGAACCACCGGAACCCCAACCTCAGAGAAAGCGAATGAGGCACCGTGCCAAGAAGCCGGCTGCGACGGCTGCGGCGGAGTACACCAGTGGGCAAGCGTTTGTGCGAGAGCGCGGATCAGAATCTGAGATGGATTTCGACGAGGATTTTTAAAAGGGGACTCTGATGAGTCAGGTCAGGAGTATCTCCAGATTGCTATGTTATCACTGACGGAAAACAACAAAAAAAATATGAAAAGAAAAAGGCAGGAAGGGAGAGCGTCCCAACCGGAGAAAAAACAGAAAATTTTGGAGGAACCTATTCATGGTCCTCGACCTATCGTTAATCAGTTCCTTTGTTTTGCGGAAAAATGTTTACCCTGTAAGGTGTTGTTGGATACTGGTGCAACTGGTCCTGTTTTGTCTGCTGTTTTTGTTGATAGTTTTGAGGTCCCGAAGGTGAAACTATAACGGGGACTATGGGCGTAGGAACTATGAAGCCAAGGAATACAACCGAGGTGAAGACGTGGACGTAGGAGGTTCGTGGACTATGGACTATGGGGCCGAGGTATGCTACCAAGGCGGGAATCGTGGACTATGGACTATAGGGCCGAAGGGTAGACCTAAGGCAAGAACGGAGACTGTGGACTATGGACTATGGATGGTTGTACCTGGTCTAGTATACCGGGTAAACCCTATGACGTAGCGCGAACCAAATAGTATTCGTAACTGTAAAATACAGAGGTTGCGTAAAGAGAAAAGAGAAAGAAGAAGAAACAAGAAATCACAAGACAACGCCGCCCTTATATATCCATACCCTATCCCAATGCTGACTCATACCCTCGCATAACAGAAACAGAAAGAACATAATAGAAACTCACTTTACTAAACCCAACCACACTACATAATCCTTCTCCCTTGTACCTAGACAACTCACATAGCCAATCCGACTAGCTGCCGTTACAGACCACTCCCCCCTCTACAGCCTATCTCCTGGTAGGCTTAGGCTTCCGTGGGTATCGTTCGTGAAATCGTTTGACAATATTAGGCGAATGTTCGACATCCGACAATGGCTGCC